GATACGCCATCCCATCTGGTTTGTGCTTAGTGGGACTATCACGTGATGTTCAACAGGGCAATGACCCAACACACCTCCAGGCTGTGTAAGGGCTATTTGACCAAGAAGGAGAGTGATGGAGTGCTGCATCAGATGACCTGGCCTCAACAATCCCCCGACCTCCACCAAATTGAGATGGTTTGGGATGAGTCGGACCGCAGAGTGAAGGAATAGCAGCCAACATGTGCCCAGCATATGTGGGAACTCCTTCAAGACTGTTGGAAAAGCATTCCAGGTGAAGCTGGTTGAGAGAATGCCAAGAGTATGCAAAGCTGTCATCAAGGCAAACGGTGGCTATTTGAAGAATCTCAAATATAAAATATATTTTGATTTGTTCAACACTTTTTTGGTTACTACATGATTCCATATGTGTTATTTCATAGTTTTGATGTCTTCACTATTATTCTACAATGTAGAAAATAGTAAAAATAAAGAAAACCCCTTGAATTAGTAGGTGTTCTAAAACGTTTGACAGGTAGTGTATGTTTTTAAAACCATATTTTTTATTTGTTCTCATAAATTACATATTGCCTTTGCTTGTTGGCACAATAAAAGTGGCCCTTTTTAAAAATGTATTATCAGCTAGTGATATTGCAATGTGTTGAAATGTGGGATTGTATTTAGAAGGTTTCCTCATTACCATATGAATGTGATGTCATCAATTGTGCTGCTGGCAGAATAGAACTGGGTGTGACATTCTTGATGCAGATAATACCAAAACAGAAACCAAAACCAAACAAAAACGATCCTCAGAGAGTTATAAAAAGGAGTGTCAGACTTAACCGTGACACTTATTTGGAACTTCATCGAATTATTGACACATCTTATCACTGGAAGACTTGAGGTAGGCTATAGACAATGTCTATCTATTTTTTTAATTTATTTTTATCATTGATGCAATGTTCAGAAATTAAGCATAAATAAGATGGTGGACTTTGCAGATAGGTTCAAGCTACCACAAGCTGACTGATGGATGTACAGTACTGTATCTACAGCCTGTCACTGTATAAAAGCTCCATCTAAAAAAGCCCTGTTCACACCTTGTGTTTACACCTGATTTTTGTGATTCAATCACCATGATCAGATTACTCTCCAACTATGGTTCAGGGGGTCCACACCAGGGTTTGCGTCAGTTCTGAATTGAACTGAGAATACATTTTAAATTCCAATTCACATCTTGAGTTTGAATGATAAATTGTCTGTACCGTAAAATCAACTTTTACCCAATCTACTTACCTATGTGCCTTTACTCTGGGAATGGTAGGTTGAAGTCTGTCTGCTATTTATTGTTGTTAGGGCATTCATTAAACAATAGGGTCAGTCCTCTTTTAACTTTCATAAGGTTCAAAGTTAACTTGTTGCTGTATGAAAGGACTAAGTACCTATGTCTACGTATGCTCATATATATATTTTAAGTGACCCAATTGTTGAAATTGCTGTTATTTGTAGTCCTGGATAATGTTCTGTACATTTACAGACTATACATAAAGACATTCTAGAAAATCAGCATTCCAATGACATGAGTACTGCATGTATTTCCTAAATTAAGTGTAAACTCAATTGCAGATATGGTGGTGTGCAGAACACCTCTGAGGACACAGAAACAGACCATTTGAAAAAGTATTTTAGAAATTGTGTTTTCAAATAGTGATTTCAATAGAAAGTGTTTACACTAAGACATGTGGAACACCAAAAAATTTATGGATTTGGGGGTATGTTTTGCTATTGTTTGTTCAATAGTTGCCTTGTTTACACCTTGAGCTAACATGTTTGTTTTGTGATCTGATTGATATGATCATATCAATATCTGATGAAGGTTTGTCGTCTTTACACATGGTATTAAAATGTGTCTCTTATCCATCCACTGTGTTGCATTGGGACCAGATTTCCTGGTTACACCAACTATTGATGCCATAAGTCAATGGTGCTACCTGTCAATGATTTTAGAAGGCGGTATGAATATGATTTGAATGGTTTGACCATCCAGATCTGTTTACGCTTGATTGATATCCAGATGCAATTGGTCCCTGATTACCTCTGGGGGTGGTCTGGCAGATCTGATCACGATCAGATCACAATGCGTCTTTTAATTGTCTACCCTGTCAAAAAATGTGGGCACAATTATAATGTGGACAAGATGAAGACAAAGGATGCATGTTAGCACCAGGTATAAATGAGGCTAGTGAATCAGCAAATCTCATTGATAATTTTTGTTATTGTGTGTGTGTGTGTTTTTGTTTGTGTAGAGTATTTATTTTGTATTTCAGTTAAGAATAATTTGAGGAGAAAGGCATGGGGTTGTTTAAATCCAAACCTAGCCCTCCACCTCCACGTCCACTACCAGGTAATTAGTATGTTTATACAGTGGGGAAAAAAAGTATTTAGTCAGCCACCAATTGTGCAAGTTCTCCCACTTAAAAAGATGAGAGAGGCCTGTAATTTTCATCATAGGTACACGTCAACTATGACAGACAAATTGAGAAAAGAAAATCCAGAAAATCACATTGTAGGATTTTTTATGAATTTATTTGCAAATTATGGTGGAAAATAAGTATTTGGTCACCTACAAACAAGCAAGATTTCTGGCTCTCACAGACCTGTAACTTCTTCTTTAAGAGGCTCCTCTGTCCTCCACTCGTTACCTGTATTAATGGCACCTGTTTGAACTTGTTATCAGTATAAAAGACACCTGTCCACAACCTCAAACAGTCACACTCCAAACTCCACTATGGCCAAGACCAAAGAGCTGTCAAAGGACACCAGAAACAAAATTGTAGACCTGCACCAGGCTGGGAAGACTGAATCTGCAATAGGTAAGCAGCTTGGTTTGAAGAAATCAACTGTGGGAGCAATTTTTAGGAAATGGAAGACATACAAGACCACTGATAATCTCCCTCGATCTGGGGCTCCACGCAAGATCTCACCCCGTGGGGTCAAAATGATCACAAAAACGGTGAGCAAAAATCACAGAACCACACGGGGGGACCTAGTGAATGACCTGCAGAGAGCTGGGACCAAAGTAACAAAGCCTACCATCAGTAACACACTACGCCGCCAGGGACTCAAATCCTGCAGTGCCAGACGTGTCCCCCTGCTTAAGCCAGTACATGTCCAGGCCCGTCTGAAGTTTGCTAGAGTGCATTTGGATGATCCAGAAGAGGATTGGGAGAATGTCATATGGTCAGATGAAACCAAAATAGAACTTTTTGGTAAAAACTCAACTTGTCGTGTTTGGAGGACAAAGAATGCTGAGTTGCATCCAAAGAACACCATACCTACTGTGGCATGGGGGTGGAAACATCATGCTTTGGGGCTGTTTTTCTGCAAAGGGACCAGGACGACTGATCCGTGTAAAGGAAAGAATGAATGGGGCCATGTATCGTGAGATTTTGAGTGAAAACCTCCTTCCATCAGCAAGGGCATTGAAGATGAAACGTGGCTGGGTCTTTCAGCATGACAATGATCCCAAACACACCGCCCGGGCAACGAAGGAGTGGCTTCGTAAGAAGCATTTCAAGGTCCTGGAGTGGCCTAGCCAGTCTCCAGATCTCAACCCCATATAAAATCTTTGGAGGGAGTTGAAAGTCCGTGTTGCCCAGCGACAGCCCCAAAACATCACTGCTCTAGAGGAGATCTGCATGGAGGAATGGGCCAAAATACCAGCAACAGTGTGTGAAAACCTTGTGAAGACTTACAGAAAACGTTTGACCTGTGTCATTGCCAACAAAGGGTATATAACAAAGTATTGAGAAACTTTTGTTATTGACCAAATACTTATTTTCCACCATAATTTGCAAATAAATTCATTAAAAATCCTCATTTTGTCTGTCATAGTTGACTTGTACCTATGATGAAAATTACAGGCCTCTCTCATCTATTTAAGTGGGTGAACTTGCACAATTGGTGGCTGACTAAATACTTTTTTTCCCCACTGTATGTACGCAGGTGTTTAATCAAAATGTGTCATAAAAAATAGTTCCAGAAAATGTATTAAACTTCCATTGAAAAAAAATAAATAAATCAAATCAGTGATTTAAAGGGATCAGACCTTTAACCTTACCTTGGCTGCTTTCAACTGACCCAGAAAGATCCCCCCCAAAAACATCAGCTACGATATTGTTTCATGCTGTATGTAGGCATAAAACTTCTTAAGGTTCTTTTTTAAAAACTTTGAGTTTGAGGACATTGTCATGCTTTATAGAGCCTCATGTTATGAATATGCCCATTTAGCTTGCATTAAGTTTAGGATCTACTCCAAGGAGGCTAAATGGTGTTGTAAATGGAGTAATTTTGTGGAGGGTCATGCCTTTTCAATTTCAGTCCCGGGAGAGTTTAGTCCAGGGGAGGGTCATGTAATTTGTAATTGATGAAATTTAAATATTTCATGAAATATATTTCATGAGTAGTTGTTTATCAGAATATGTACTGACTCTTTTGTTTAACAGCTTTTGACAAAGAATGGAGACACACATCTTGGGGGTAAGTACAGCATACCCACAGGGGGTATGAAAAATAAAAATGTATGCACTAACTGTAAGTCGCTCTGGATAAGAGCGTCTGCTAAATGACTAAAATGTAATGTAATGTAGATGCACAAAAATATATGGAAATCTGAGAAAAGTGTAAGATTGATCGTAAGTCTAATTTGTTTGGTCTCAGGTCACTACAACTCCAATGTGGATGTTTATGTTGTAAACTACCCTAATACCCCTACTTATATTTGATAATGAACCAGGGAGAGACATATTTTTAAGTAGGTGTGGTGGATTGTTGAATTACGTGCTTCAGAACTTAATCAAGATTTAGCCTAACCCTTTCTCTAACCCTTTCTCTGGTTTTTACTGCCATCTAACAGTCATAAAGAGGAAATGCTGCAGAAACTGAAAGACTATGTGCCTGAAAACCCTCAAGTGAAGACAATCAGAATCCTCCTCCATGGACCAGCTGGAGCGGGCAAGTCCAGCTTCATCAACTCCATCAACAATATCTTTCAGGACAAATGTATGAGCGTTGCCTTAGCTGATAATGCTTCTGCAGGTGCAAGCTTCACAAAAAAGGTACATTCTTAGGTATTACAGTGGATTGCGAAAGTATTCATCCCCCTTGGCATTTTACCTATATTGTTGCCTTACAACCTGGAATTAAAATAGATTTTTTGGGGGTTTGTATCATTTGATTTACACAACATGCCTACCACTTTGAAGATGCAAAATATTTATTTGTGTGAATGAAACAAGAAATAAGACAAAAAAACAGAAAACTTGAGCGTGCATAACTATCACCCCTCCAGAGTCAATACTTTGTAGAGCCACCTTTTGCAGCAATTACAGCTGCAAGTCTCTTGGGGTATGTCTCTATAAGCTTGGCACATCTAGCCACTGGGATTTTTGCCCATTCTTCAAGGCAAAACTGCTCCAGCTCCTTCAAGTTGGATGGGTTCCGCTGGTGTACAGCAATCTTTAAGTCCCACAAATTCTCAATTGGATTGAGGTCTGGGCTTTGACCAGGCCATTCCAAGACATTTAAATGTTTCCCCTTAAACCACTCAAGTGTTTCTTTAGCAGTATGCTTAGGGTCATTGTCCTGCTGGAAGGTGAACCAGTCTCAAATCTCTGGAAGACTGAAACAGGTTTCCCTCAAGAATTTCCCTGTATTTAGCGGCATCCATCACTCCTTCAATTCTGACCAGTTTCCCAGTCCCTGCCGATGAAAAAATATCCCCACAGCATGATGCTGCCACCACCATGCTTCACTGCGGGGATGGTGTTCTCGGGGTGATGAGAGGTGTTGGGTTTGCGCCAGACATAGCGTTTTCCTTGATGGCCAAAAAGCTCAATTTGAGTCTCATCTGACCAGAGTACCTTATTCCATATGTTTGGGGAGTCTCCCACATGCCTTTTGGCAAACACCAAACGTGTTTACTTATTTTTTTATTTAAGCAATGTTTTTTTTCTGCCCACTCTTCTGTAAAGCCCAGCTCTGTGGAGTGTAAGGCTTAAAGTGGTCCTATGGACAGATACTCCAATCTCCGCTGTGGAGCTTTGCAACTCCTTCAGGGTTTTCTTTGGTCTCTTTGTTGCCTCTCTGATTTATGCCCTTCTTGCCTGGTCCGTGAGTTTTGGTGGACGGCCCTCTCTTGGCAGGTTTGTTGTGGTGCCATATTCTTTCAATTTTTTAATAATGGATTTAATGGTGCTCCGTGGGATGTTCAAAGTTTTTGATATTTTTTTATAACCCAACCCTGATCTGTACTTCTCCAAAACTTTGTCCCTGACCAGTTTGGAGAGCTCCTTGGTCTTCATGGTGCCGCTTGCTTGGTGGTGCCCCTTGCTTAGTGGTGTTGCAGACTCTGGGGCCTTTCAGAAAAGGTGTATATATACTGAGATCATGTGGCAGATCATGTGACACTTAGATTGCACACAGATGGACTTTATTTAACTAATTATGTGACTTCTGAATTTAATTGGTTGCACCAGATCTTATTTAGGGGCTTCGTAGCAAAGGGGGTGAATACATATGCACACACCACATTTCCGTTATTTATTTGTTTATAATTCTTTGAAACAAGTTATTTTTTTCATTTCACTTCACCAATTTTGACTATTTTGTGTATGTCCATCACATGAAATCTAAATAAAAATCAGTTTAAATTACAGGTTGTAATGCAACAAAATAGGAAAAATGGCAAGGGGGATGAATACTTTTGCAAGGCACTGTATGTGACACATTCAAAGTAGCAATTGTTCACAACAATATATATATATATATATATATATATATATATATCCTATATCTAACATATTCATTACATGAAATCTAAATAAAAATGGAATTAATGCAGTATGATTTTTATACAGTACGTAGTTGTAATTTTGCAATGTATTTTTACAGTATGAAACCCACAAAATTGTGAAAGAAAAACCTGGAACCTACTACCCCTTCCAATTCTATGATGTCATGGGCCTGGAGAATGGTATTGACAAAGGAGTTGATGAGGCGGACATTATCAAGGCCCTGAAGGGGCATATAAAAGAGGGTTACACGGTAAGAACTGAACACAGCAACCTCTCAGTCTGTAAATATGTTTGCTGTATACAGTACCAGTCAAAAGTTTGGACACACCTACTCATTCAAGGGTTTTTCTTTATTTTTACTATTTTCTACATTGTAGAATAATAGTGAAGACATCAAAACTATGAAATAACACATATGGAATCATGTAGTAACCCAAAAAGTGTTAAACAAATCGAAATATATTTATATTTGAGATTCTTCAAATAGCCACCCTTTGCCTTGATGACAGCTTTGCACACTCTTGGCATTCTCTCAACCAGGTTCACCTGGAAGGCTTTTTCCAACAGTCTTGAAGGAGTTCCCACATATGCTTAGCACTTGTTGGCTGCTTTTCCTTCACTCTAACATCCAACTCATCCCAAACCATCTCAATTGGGTTGAGGTCGGGGGATTGTGGAGGCCAGGTCACCTGATGCAGCACTCCATCACTCTCCTTCTTGGTAAAATAGCACTTACACAGCCTGGAGGTGTGTCATTGTCCTGTTGAAAAACAAATGATAGTCCTAATAAGCCCAAACCAGATGGGATGGCGTATCGCTGCAGAATGCTGTGGTAGCCATGCTGGTTAAGTTTGCCTTGAATTCTAAATAAATCACAGACAGTGTCAACAGCAAAGTACCCCCACACCATAACACCTCCTACATGCTTTACGGTGGTAAATACACATGCGGAGATCATCCGTTCACTCACACTGCGTCTCACAAAGACACGGCGGTTGGAACCAAAAATCTCAAATTTGGACACCAGACCAAAGGACAAATTTCCACCGGTCTAATGTCCATTGCTCGTGTTTCTTGGCCCAAGCCGGTCTCTTCTTCTTATTGGTGTCCTGGTTTCTTTGCAGCAATTAGACCATGAAGGCCTGATTCACACAGTCCCCTCTGAACAGTTAATGTTGAGATTTGTCTGTGACTTGAACTCTGTGAAGCATTTATTTGGCTAGTAACTCTAATGAACTTATCCTCTACAGCAGAGGTAACTCTGGGACATCCATTCCTGTGGTGGTCCTCATGAGAGCCAGTTTCATCATAGCGCTTGATGGTTTTTGCTACTGCACTTGAAGAAACGTTAAAAGTTATTGAAATGTTCCGTATTGACTGACCTTCATGTCTTAAAGTAATGATGGACTGTTGTTTCTCTTTGCTTATTTGAGCTGTTCTTGCCATAATATGGACTTGGTCTTTTACCAAATAGGGCTGATTGGCTCAAATGCATTAAGAAGGAAAGAAATTCCACAAATTAACTTTTAAGAATGCATACCTGTTAGTTGAAATGCATTCCAGGTGACTACCTCATGAAGCTGGTTGAGAGAATGCCAACAGTGTGCAAAGCTGTCATCAAGGCAAAGGGTGGCTATTTGAAGAATCTCAAATCTCAAATATATTTTGATTTGTTTAACACTTCTTAGGTTACTACATGATTCCATATGTTTTATTTCATAGTTTTGATGTCTTCACTATTATTCTACAATGTAAAAATAAAGAAAAACCCTTGAATGAGTTGGTGTGTCCAAACTTTTTACTGGTAGTTTATAATAAACATTATTGTTTTTCACTATTTTTTCACCAGTTTAATCCCATATCACCTTTAACCGAGGAGAATAAGTACTATGTGAAGGCCCCCACTCTATCTGACACAGTTCACTGCCTAGTTAGTGCAATACCAGCTGATAAACTGCCTATGATGAATGCCAACAAGAATGATGAGAATACTGATGTCTTCAAGAAGATGAGAGCCATCAGACTAGCAGCAAGTTACATAGGTAACACGTTTTTATGGAACATTGTTTATAATATATAATGTTGGTGGCAGGGTCTCATCATACAATTGACTAGTCGGTGCATATCAGCCCATATCAGAGCAGCGTTTGAACCCTTGGGCGCCTTCAGCAGGACACAACGTTTTGGAATGTTCAGATAGAAATATGTAGTGTAGAACAAACATGCCTCTCCGACCTATAGACCATGTAATCATGTCCGCTCTATTCATGGCTATTCTATCTGCAACATTCAACAACGTTTGGAAAATGAATGTTGCCCTGGTCTTGAACCCAGTTTTAAATATGTGTTTTTTCACTAATAATACAGTATATTTTCATGTACAATAAAAAAATTACTTAATACATACACAAACTGACATGATACTTTAGACCTTTAGTAGTAATAAGATGGAAGAGACACAAGATTCAATTGGTTTCCATGTATTTGGCAGGGATTCCCCAAATGGTTATTCTCACCAAAGTGGATTTAGCCTGTCCATTGGTGAGGGAAGACCTGAGAAAGGTCTATCTGAGCAAGTATATAAAGGAGAAGGTAAGTGAATTATATTTTTTAAGTTTACCTAGAAATGCAAGTATTTGCAGATTCGGCGCTCCATAGTCTCACTTGATGAGGAAAACATTTACATGTTATATCTGTCGGGAGACTGTGTAATATGACTGATAATGTGGAACAATTATATTGGTGCGCTGGTTTTGTGTTACTGACTATTTGGATTAATCATGTACGATTTCGCAGTTTTCATTAGTTTCATATCCTGGACTGGTTCTGGGTTGCCAAGATATGCACTCCTGGACCATAGGCCCTGGCCTACAGTATGAAATAAATGGTTTGAGGGAGCACTTTAATTTATGCTTTTTCGTCTCCCTGGGAGATACATGTCCAAATGTATTATTCTACTCATCTGATTGAATTCCAACCATATTCTTTCATTGCAGATGGAGCAGTGTAGTAATGAACTGGGAGTACCAGTAGGCTGCATTATGCCTGTGAAGAACTACCACGAGGAAATCGACTTGGATGATGACATGGATGTGCTGCTATTGAGATCACTGAAGCAGATGGTGAACTTTGCAGAGGGCTTCAAGCTACCACAAGCTGACTGATGTATATACAGTACTCCATCTATAGCGTGTCACTGTATAATACCTCCATCTAAAGAAGCCCTGTTCACACCTGGTATTTACACCTGACTTTTGTGATCCAATCACCATGATCTGATTACTCTCCAACTATGGTCCAGTGCGTCCACAAAAGGGATGGCATCATTTCTCAATTGAACTGAGAATACATTTAGAATTTCATTCAAATCTTGAGTTTGAATTATAATTGTCTGTACCGTAAAATCAACTGCTACCCAATCTACTTAGCTCTACTCTGGGAAAGGTCTGTTGAAGTCTGTCTGTTATTTAGTGTTGGTAGGGCATTCATTAAACAATAGTGTCAGTCCTCCTTTACCTATAATAAGGTTCAAAGTGAACTTGTTACTGTATGAAAGGAGTAAGTATCCATGTCTATGCTCATATTTTATAAAGTGAGTATTATAATTGTTGAAATTCCTGTTATTTGTAGTCCTGGATGATTTACTGTACATTTACAGACCATAGATTAAGATTAAGATCTCTTTGTTGGTCAATTGCACACAAGGTCCAACCAAAATGTTACTTCCGCTTCTAACCCAACCCCTCCGAAAGACACACATACATACACATACAGGTTATGGAGAGGCGTGGGAGCCGGCCACACTGGGTGCCCTGGGAGCTGTTGCTGTGTGGGGGGGGGGGGGGTTAAGTGACTTGCTCTAGGGCACAACGGGAGGCAATGGCATCTGGGAATTGACACCAGCAACCCTCCGGTTGCCAGCTCACTTCCCCCCAGATTTTTCCCGTCGGACCCTGGACTCGAACTGGCAACCCTTAGGTTGCTGGCTCGCCTCTCCACCCTGACATCGTTGAAAATTAGCATTCCAGTGGCATGACTCCTATATATGGGTTTCCTAAATTAAGTGTCAATTAACTCTCTCTATTGCAGATATGGTGCTGTGCAACGTCAACACACCTCTGAGGACACAGAAACAGACCAGTTTTAAATAGTGTGTCTAGAAATTGTGTTTTCAAATAGTGATTTCAACTAAGACAATACACTAAGACAACATGGTCACGTGGAACACAAAAAAATTGATGGATTGTTTGGTACTTTCAAAAAGGACATAACCTGTTCTTACTAATTCTAACTAAGTTTCTCTGGATAAGAGCGTCTGCTAAATGACTAAAACGTAAAAAACGTAAACTAATTACATCAATCAATTTCCCTACCAGCTACAGGCATGACATACAGTGAGGGAAAAAAGTATTTGATCCCCTGCTAATTTTGTACGTTTGCCCACTGACAAAGACATGATCAGTCTATAATTTTAATGGTAGGTTTATTTGAACAGTGAGAGACAGAATAACAACAAAAAAATCCAGAAAAACGCATGTCAAAAATGACCCCTCTGCAAAACATGACTTAGTACTTGGTGGCAAAACCCTTGTTGGCAATCACAGAGGTCAGACGTTTCTTGTAGTTGGCCACCAGGTTTGCACACATCTCAGGAGGGATTTTGTCCCACTCCTCTTTGCAGATCTTCTCCAAGTCATTAAGGTTTCGAGCCTGACGTTTGGCAACTCGAACCTTCAGCTCCCTCCACAGATTTGTCTATGGGATTAAGGTCTGGAGACTGGCTAGGCCACTCCCAGACCTTAATGTGCTTCTTCTTGAGCCACTCCTTTGTTGCCTTGGCCATGTGTTTTGGGTCACTGTCATGCTGGAATACCCATCCACGATCCATTTTCAATGCCTTGGCTGAAGGAAGGAGGTTCTCACCCAAGATTTGACGGTACATGGCGCCGACCATCGTCCCTTTGATGCGGTGAAGTTGTCCGGTACCCTTAGCAGAAAAACACCATCAAAGCATAATGTTTCCACCTCCATATTTGACGGTGGGGATGGTGTTCTTCGGGTCATAGGCAGCGTTCCTCCTCCTCCAAACACGGCGAGTTGAGTTGATGCCAAAGACCTCGATTTTGGTCTCATCTGACCACAACACTTTCACCCAGTTCTCCTCTGAATCATTCAGATGTTCATTGGCAAACTTCAGACGGGCCTGTATATGTGCTTTCTTGAGCAGGGGGAACTTGCGGGCGCTGCATGATTTCAGTCCTTCACGGCGTAGTGTGTTACCAATTGTTTTCTTATTGACTATGGTCCCAGCTGCCTTGAGATCATTAACAAGATCCTCCCGTGTAGTTCTGGGCTGATTCCTCACCGTTCTCATGATCATTGCAACTCCACGAGGTGAGATCTTGCATGGAGCCCCAGGCCGAGGGAGACTGACAGTTATTTTGTGTTTCTTCCATTTGCAAATAATCGCACCAACTGTTGTCACCTTCTCACCAAGCTGCTTGGCGATGGTCTTGTAGCCCATTCCAGCCTTGTGTAGGTCTACAATCTTGTCCCTGACATCCTTGGAGAGCTCTTTGGTCTTGGCCATGGTGGAGAGTTTGGAATCTGATTGATTGATTGCTTCTGTGGACAGGTGTCTTTTATACAGGTAACAAGCTGAGATTAGGAGCACTCCCTTTAAGAGTGTGCTCCTAATCTCAGCTCGTTACCTGTATAAAAGACACCTGGGAGCCAGAAATCTTTCTGATTGAGAGGGGGTCAAATACGTATTTCCCTCATTAAAATGCAAATCAATTTATAACATTTTTGCAGAGGTGGGTAGAGTAGCCAAAAATTGTACTCAAGTAAAAGTACTGTTACTTCAGAATAATATGACTCAAGTAAAAGTAAAAAGTAGTCATCCAAATAATTACTTGAGTAAGAGTAAAAAAGTACTTGGTGAAAAAACTACTAAAGTACTGAGTAACTGTTGAGTAACGTCTGATTTATTTTTTAACACAAGACAACAATCAGACAGACAAAAATACAAAATAATCATCTTTAATGAATTACAAAATAGCTTAAATTAAAATAATTCAGGTAAATTCAAGTATAAAAAAATTAAATAATAATAAATAAAAAATAAATAAATAAGCACAAGTAACACACATTTCCAAACCTTTATACTTTTTTTTACCAGGCAGAACTAGAATGAGGCAGCCCTTTTTCTGTGTGCCTAGAAATGAATACTCTGATCTGTGATTAGGCCACACTGCACATCTCACTGAGCAGAGGAAAAGAGCAGCAGTACACATCAACTGAAAAAGCACCAGTCCATGATAGATGGCCAAATAAAACAATATTGCAGGCCTAGTATCCCAGAACACAAATTAAGCTGAATGCATGTTCTCTAGAAGGCATCAGAGGAGAGTGATGTAGTTGTAGATCGGGCATTATGTTTACTTCCAGTTCCAATATCTAACAAGAAAAGTCAGCAAAAAAAAGTCACTAACTATATTGCCACCCTGTGGTTTGTCACTGACACACTATAATCCTAAATGACAGTAACATTATACAGAGTTATATAGGTCAAGGTCTACTGGTTCACATTTGAATTGATAAACAAGTATATTTACCAGCATTTAAGATGTTCTCCTCTGTGGTCCAGGATGTTCTGAATCTTGGTAGGAGTATTGCTGCTGCAATCAGCTCAGGCTCTTTCATGACGTCTCCAAAACATTTCTGGATCCCTTGCTGCAGGGCGTGAACAAGAGGTGTACACATTTTGCAAGTTGACTCCAACTTCTTCAGCTTGTCCCGCAACTGGTAAAGTGTTGGCAGCAGGAGGCCATATGCACAGATGATTCCCCTTGGAGGATATTAAGGGCCATGGCAACAGGCTTCATCACAGCAGCATACTCGACCAAAAACCCATTTTCAGCTGGATTGAACCTATAAAAGATGTAACGATAAAACAATGACTTATAGCTATTTCTGGTACAATGTCTTTATTATGCATTGTACATGTTAAATACAAAAAATATATATATATATTTCATTCAAGTCATCCACAATTGTCACACCACCATGCAAAGAAAACTTAGTTACTTGAGACAAGTGGATTCACCCATTAATCAGCAAGGCTTATTTACTTTTATTATTCTTTAAAAACAAAATATACATTTTGTCAACTTACATCTTTATCTTTAATGCTGTGCAGACATTGCGAATTGCTTGTTCTCCTTGCTCTCGGTGAATGCGCACAATCCTTTCTACAGCGAGGAACAGGGAGCTCCAGCGTGTCTGATTGGGTCGGAGAAACTGCAGCTTGCATTCACGTTCCACTGTTTCATGAGCCATGGTTGAGCTGCTGGTTTTATTCCAAAGAGCATGACATTTTGCAAAAGCAGACCGAGACAGCCTCTTGTAGGTTTCGTTTGCAGCTCCTCCTGCAGCAGTGGCATCAACTGTGGATATAAGATTGAGGAGATGGCATGCACACTTTTGGTGCCTTGGAAGTTGGTACTCAAGGCCTGTGTTGTCATCCAGAATTGCAGACATCTTGATACTCCACCTCTGACTCACTCTGATCTTCTGTTGCATCATCAAGGGTGGAGTCACTCTCCTCTTGTACATTGATGGCTTCCTCCTCTTTCTCCTCACCATATAATCGAAAGGAAGTTTGAGCCACTGTCTGTTGTCGTCCTGGTCACTTTTTCCCTGATGTGGTACTCAGTATGTATTTCCTCTAATGCAGCAGCAAGGACATCAAACGTGTGCGAGCCTTTGACAGGTCTACAAGCCAATGTGGAGTGCCTCTCCAGTGAGGTGTTGTCTATCCAGTGACAGGTGACACCTAAGTAGCTACGTTAGCAAAAGAGTTCACAGCACTCAGCTTTTTGATGATTATGCTCTTCTTGTGTTTTGCAGCTTCTTGTATTCTTGTGCATAACGTTTTCCTTGTCATTACTGTATGAGGTTGCAAGGTTTCTATCAAAGTATTGAAGGATGGCGTCTCAACCACAGAAAATGGTTGGTTGGCCTCACATACAAAATTTAGCATCAGCTTGTCAAGCGTTGCTTGTGTTACCCGCCCTGGGGCAGCAAAGGCTGTGATTTTTGCATTTTTCACAAGAGTATCACTGGAAGAGGAGGACTTACGCTTTCTGTGGTTCTCTAGTAAGTCTGTGTACTTTGCCAGTTTGTTGGGGTGAATCCTCTGTGGACAAAAATAAAATATGTGAGGCTACAGGGAGATCAAGACATTAAAAGAGACTTATTATCACATCAAATTAGGATATATATATATATATATATATATATATATATATATATATATATATATATATATATATATATATATATAGAAAATGTTTAAAACATATGTAACCTAAAAGACAAACATTCGCCTATCCACAGCAAAAAAAAACGAATTTAGGAAACTTACAGTTACATGTTTCCTCAAGTTAGATGTTGAGTTCTTGAATGCTGAAATGTCCGTTTGTTTTGGTAGACACAGAAGACACCACATAATGTAGCTGTTCTTTCGCACTTTTACTAAGGTAAACATGCTTTCAATATGAGGCCAGGGGTGCGGGT